ATATCGCAGACAATCAAGCAAAAAAGCATAGAGAGCAAGCAAAACTAAAGCAATAAAAAGCAAAACAAAAAACAAAAAAGAAACCAACACAAAATAAAACCAAAAAACAAAAATAAAATATTTGCATAAATAGAAAATAAACCTGGAATAAAATTCCCCGTTCTATACTTACAATTTGGTATCAATTTAATAATGGTATCTGTGAAAATATGATAAAGAAAATGGTTATACATGCATTTAAACAATAGAGAAAAAAGAAAATTGATCAATTCTGTTTAGTATACATTTAGCTAACTTGCTTTAATTTTTTTTTTCTTAGGGTAAGTCTATAGTTGGTTATTAAAGAATTATCTTATATGTATAAAATAGATATCTACATCTGCATATAAAGGTCTGTAGTTTCTTACAAATAGGTCACAACAACCTATATATATATAAATATGGCTACTTGTTGTATAAGTACAATTTTGTATATATATATACATGTATATTGTTATGAATATGTATCGCTCATCATTCTCTTGCGCTCCATGGGTCCCCTCTATTTTTACGGGTTTCAAGTGTCATATGTGACCCAACATCTCGAATACGTGTTTGCAATTTTTCTTTTTTGCGTATTTTGTAGGCTACGTGAGACAGAAGGAATCTTTCCTCTTTCATGGATACCGGTAGATCATCTAGAATCCGAATTTGACTACCTTTCAGATTGTGGGCACTGGACATAATGAGTTGTTTATCTCCATAGTGTATAAATCGAACGATAATTGGTTTGGGTCCACTACCCCTTGTTGGTACACGGTGAGCATTAGCAATCGGAATGGCATTTGCTTTTCTCTGTTCAACTTTTAGATTTTGACTAAACAACTGACGAGTAACTGAATAGATGTTCTCATCTGCATTACTGTCATCAACCCCATAAATCATAACATTATATTTCCTTTCGTGCTTTTCAAGCAATGTTACCTGATCCTTCATTTCATTCATCTGGGTTTGAAGCTCATATTTTTGTTTTTGTAATTTTCACCTTCAATTGCTTGTATTTGCAAATCCATACCTGCAACACCCTGTTCCAACTCTGTGAAGTCTTGTCTTAAACTAGTTATTTCTAATTGAGATTCATCATATTTTGTTTTCAATATATTGACGTCTGTTTTCACTTCATTGATCATACCCGTTAAGTTATGTTCAACTTTTTCAAGTTGCTGTGAAAAGTCACTTACTTTTTTATCAACTCCCATTATGAGGCTTTTGAGCTCTTTAAATTCTGCTGATGCCATATTAATATTAATATGTAATTTTGTATAATCTTAAAATCTAAAAAGAGTTGCTATATTAGTCTGCTTACTTTTATATTTTGTGAAACAAAATAGTTGCACACACTTGAAACTACATGTAAACAGTTGCTGCTACATGTATTTGAAGCTATATTGTTTATCTATGTATGACACAGGAGTTTAGTCGTAGATATGGCTCGTTACTCAAAGTTATGTATACTATATATAATTCATATCAAGTCGTCACGAAAGTCAAGCGTAAAAAACAAAAACACTTTCAATAGTCATGATTGTGTACATGTAACATTGACATCGTAGCGATTGGGAATATCATTGAAAATCGTAGATTATGTGGTTTTTTGTACTATATTGTTTTAACACGCACTGCCTTAACTGTACACAATGTTATCTAACAAATACATAGTGCCTCTGCCCCTCTCAACAGTATAAATGCCTCAAAAACTAACTCTTATAAAAATATCATGGGCGCATCCATTACAGGGGCGACAATATCTCCAGTATTAGTAAATACAAATAAAACATTACTTGAAGTCCGTAGTTTAAAATACGCGGCATTAATACTTTTCCGGAGTTTTGTCCGCTATTGAGTACAGCCGATCACGTCATCAAAGCGTTTGTTGATAATGAACGTTAAACAATATAAAACGGTACACGATTAAAAAATTAAAAAGTCCAGTGTGTTACTGACGATGGATTTACTTGATTGGACATGATTTAAAACGACTGATATCTCTTTTAAAAGAAAACTGCTATCCAAGCACTGGTATGCGTTCATATCATTGAAATATCGTAGTATCAATTGGGGATTTCGTTAAAAAGTCACATTTTTCATCGGATTTACATTAAATTTTTACCGTAAGACAGTATAGTTCAATCTTTGGATAGCACTTTTTAGAAAATATACATTCCAACGAATGTATTGATACTTTGTTTCACATTCAAATATTCCTTTAACACGCTGGACTTTTGAGTTAAAAATATAATGTACAACCTTCATTGGCAACTCGGGTCACGTGACTACTTTGACTTTCGATATGGAAAACCCATGCAAGATTAAATATAGGTCTTTATGTTTCATTCTACGATCTCTGTTTTCCTGATTTTTTTGCCATTTTCTTATGATATGAACTTCCATATAACATGCAATTTTACGCATTTTTCTTGTAAAGTGCCTTAATATCACTGCGTAAGCATTTTTCTACTTTCAAGACAATAACTTGTGGAACAGTGTATGGATCTCTCTGAAATTATACCACAAGTTTACAAAGGGATGGTAAGAATTGGCTTTGGGGGGATATGGCTTAAATAGTTTATGAATTAGGGGCAAAAAAGGAGGTAAAACAAGGGTTTCCTGCTTTAGGGACAATTACTTAAGTACAATGTTATGTTTGAATTACCTCCCTTACACTGCTTTTAAATTATATATAAAGAAATGTTGTATTGTCTTGAGGTGATTAGCTGTCACTTTATGTTTAGAAGTTACTATTAAAAATGCTGATTAAGGTATATTAATTTTAGCCATGATTATGTATGTCATTTTCTATTTTAAGACTTTTATGATGTATTTAAATGAGTAATTATGGTTGCAAGCTCCGTTAAATTTGAATTGAGAGTATAACCATATCTTAAGGGAAAGATTTTTTTTGGGGGAAAATGGTGGGGGGGGGGGGGGTTGAGGTGAAAAAAATTTCGGAAAAAAGGGGGGGTTAAAAAAGAAATTGTCGAGGGGGGGGGGGGGGCAATTTTTCTCATTTCAGATTTTAGAAATTAAAAAGAAAATTTCTTCAAATATTATTTTTTTTTGCGACAAAAAAAGATGGGATCAAATCTTTCTTTTGGGGGGGGGGGGGGGGGGTCAATTCGCAACAACATAGTGTATTGCACAAAAGCAAAAAAATAAATATAAATTCAAATTATATAATTATATAACCAATTCTAAGTTCTTTGACAACAGTTATTCAGTGTCAGAAACCTATTTTGTGTCTAATATTTAATTACAATCCAAATTCAACCTATATCAAGCGCGAATATTGTGTCCATTTTTGCCCAAACTGTTCAGGGTTGTACCTCTGTGGTCGTATCCAGCTGCGCTTGGCGAAGCAATTTATCTATTACTATAAACTATTACAGGTCAACTATAGATGGTGTATGGAATGATTGTAAGGTGAACATGTCTGCCTGGCTTGATTAATCTGAGTGACCTTGTCCTCATTTTCATGGATCATTGATAGCATTAAATTTATCTGATCCTTATAATAAACTATATATTTTGGACTATCAACATATTATTGATTGGATTTAATAAATATTCTTATTCTTATTCTTATTATGAATCATGATAAGTAAAACAGGAGAGACATTTCTGCTTGCGCAATCCTGTTTCAATATAAAACTCAATGCCATAATATTCTTGTAAAAAGAGGGGAAATTGAGTTAAGGAAATGGATTACTGCATCTCAAACATCAATACAGGCAATGGATTAGAGCATCACACACATCTATACTTACCCCTCTGACCCCATCTATTACCCTTTTAGAAACACTTTTACTACATGCAAATTCTTATGTTGCTGTGCCACTATATTTATAGGTCTGTGTCTGTCAGTTAGTCAAACAATCGGTTTGACAATCCAGTTTCAGGTGCAAGTTATGGGTTAAGGTTGTGTACAGTAAATATGTGGCTATTACAACTTGAAACTAATGACACGTATTGAAATATATGGTTTGTGAGTGATGCGTGGTATCGTATGTACGTAGAGAATGTCATATGGCTTTTTCAATATCAGGTACAGCCGTATCAACCCGAGAAACCAATATAATCCCCAGATTTCTGCTCGAGGTATTTTATTGGTTGATGGGTGATACGGTGTGTCTGTGATGAATTATGCTCTTTCGAAATCGGATACAGACTTTACCTATTCATTTTACAAACATTCTTATTAATTGTTCCTCGAAATTCGGACCCCTCCGTAGATTTCGGATCGAGACGCCCGGGGTGTTCATGGTAACTATGTTCTTATGAAAAGTACAATGTACGTTGACAGAAGCTACTTCATGATTCAAAGACAATTTCCAGATCATTTTGTTTTAAATAGCTTTCTCAAAACCTTCGTCATATTTTTTTGTCAAACTTGGACAGAAGCTTCTTAGTGATTCAATGACAGTAGCAAAAGCAAAATTTGAAAAATAGTTTTTATTTTCATATTTTTCTGTATTTAAATTGACTAGTTTTATTTGCCGTAAATATTAGAGACATTATGTGTTTTGAGAATTAAAACTTGAAATACTATATCAAATCTCTGGAATTTTTCAAAACTTTGACCGAAGCTTTTTCATAATCAAGAGATAGCAACATGTACAAAATTAGTTTTCATGTTCACAATATTTTTTGCCACGAAGAACCCCATTTGCAATAAGCCTGAACCGGCCTATTCAGGCTATCCTATGCTAAATGTCAATACCTTTTCAGCAGATTACTACGGCCTGTGACAAAAATCGTGTTTTATTTTACTTGACAAAAGTTCTATGTTGAATTTTTAGCTCGTCATGGTTCATTTTTTGTATATTATATTTTGAAAGCAATTGGCATTTAATCGATATAGCTGAGCTTATTAGGTGTAGTATTCCATGTCACCGCTGATATTTTATATATACAAACAATTAGATTATTTAGCATGTGCAAACATGGGATTTAATAATTTAGACTTAGTATTATTGATTTTAAAAGTCCTTGAAATATTAAAAGTTTTAGATAAAACGCAACGATCACGATATGTGTTCTACTCTCAGACGATTTATTTAATGAACTAAGCAGTAGACGTCGACACAGAAAATAACCATGGCACAATTTGTTGGGAAATGGAAAACTATTAATTCAACCAGGAAAAACTACGAAGAATACTGTTCAAGTTCAGGTAATTCAATATTTTTGCATGGCAAATTTATGTTTTAATGAATAGGCGACTATTTAACAAACGGGTGATGAATATCTGCTTATCCTTCCGGAGCACCTGAGATTACGCCAATTTTTGATGAGGTTCGTGTTGCTCAGCCTTTAGTTTTCAATGTTGTGGTTTGTGTATTATTGGTTGTCTCTTAGGTATTTTTAAGCCATAGCTGTGTCAGTTAATTTTCAACTTATGAGTTTGAATGTCCCTTTGGTATCTTTTCCCTCTCTTTAAAGACAAGCAACTTTGTGAGTTAGGTTAAACATTGATGGTTATGCACCAAAACAAAAACATTATTGATTATATCAGCTCTTTCCGTCCTCAGTTTTCTATGTTGTTGGGTTTCCGTCACATTGACGTAAACCTAGATCCTATTTTTATCCATAAGCATGTAACTAGCTAACAAATGCAATATTTACCAGTAAATAAGGATGGGTGTACTAAAATATAGGACAAAATGTGTTAGGATCTTATCGACGAAAGAAAACAAGCATTAACTCGCATATACTATAATACCTTGTACCCATAGATAAAAGTAGCGGATATTACTTGTACCCAGATACGACATGAACAATATCTCCACTACAACAGATAATATAAGTTATTAAAATAGACGAAGTAGTTTTTAAAAAATAGTTAATGTTTTTTGTCGAGTCTGCGACTTTTATGGCAAAAGCGAGACGTAGCGATCCTATATTCCGTCGTCGTCGGCGGCGGCGTCCACAAATATTCACTCTGTGGTTAAAGTTTTTGAAATTTTGATGACTTTCGAAAAGTATCCTGGATTTCTATCAAACTTGGCAGGAAACTTGTTTATGATTCAGAAGTAAATTTTGTAAAAAGAAAAATCCTTTTTATCCGTATTTTATTAATAAATGAACTTAGTTTTTTCTGCTAGTTATATTTAAATTCACTCTATGGTTTAAGTTTTAAAATTTTTCTTAAACTATCCTGGATTTGTACCAAACTTGGACAGAAGCTTGTTTATGATCAAAAGTTTCCATCTAGAAGTAAATTTTGAAAAAAAAATCATTTCTTGTTTTTCTGTATATTAATTATAAATGGACTTATTCTTTATTATTAATTGTTTTGGCTTTTAACTAGCTGTCAGTAACTGCGAGTATTCTCAAATCGTACTTTCTTGTTTATTTGACCTGTTTATACTAATTGTATTGCTTTTTTGTTATTTAATGTTATTCAGGGTTATATCTGGTCTATATACCAGCTTTGATAAGTGTTTGGCATAACTATAAATTTTCACTTCGTACTATGAACATCAAAATTATTTATTTTGTTAAAATATTTCCTTTCTCTATTGGTACTGTACACGTATACCTAACAACAAAATTATTTTCATTTACCTGTGTTTAAAGTTATTGCAAATGTCTGATATTTTTGTTCGAGCATATTGTTTTTCTTTAATTGTTTAACATTGCTTACCGATATAACATGTTACTTTTATTATTCTTCCCTTAGTTTATTTATTTTGTATTTACATTGTGTCATAGGTTATAATTTATTTGTGCAGTGTATGTTCAATGGTGTTAATATGTCCTTTGATTGAGTTAAGCTATTTCAGTTGATATTTTATAGTGTGTCCTTCTATGTTGTAATGTTACACTATTGTTTCAGAAAAAGGGTGAAGGTTTGGTACCATTAAAACGTTTAAACCCGCTGCATTTGTTTGCACCTGTCCTAAGTCAGGAATCTGATGTTCAGTAGTTGTCGTTTGTTGATGTGGTTTATAAGTGTTTCTCGTTTTTTATATAGATTAGACCGTTGGTTTTCCCGTTTGAATGGTTTTACACTAGTAATTTTTTGGGGCCCTTTATAGATTACTGTTCGGTGTGAGCCAAGGCTCCGTGTTGAAGACCGTACTGTGACCTATAATGGTTTACTTTTATAAATTTTGACTTGGATGGAGAGTTGTCTCATTGGCACTCATACCACATCTTCTTATATCTGTTAGTTTTCTTCCAGTTAACATTACATACAATCTGCAGTTGAAAAAGATTTTAAAACATTTATTAGATTCATAAACCATCCTGAATTTCACCAAACTTGGACAGAAGCTTCTTACAATCAAAAGATAGAATCTAGAGGAAAATTGTTAATAATTTTTTCCCCATTTTTGTTGAGCCTGCGACTTACGGCAAAGGTAGGCGAGACACTGGGTTCCGCGGAACCCTTACAAATTTCTAAAACAAATCTCCCTTTTTGTCATATGTAAATAGGCTATCATTGAAATACAGCTTTTCAACCAACCAAATTAACATATTACATATATATATAGATTTCTTCTTCCTTTTATATAAGTTCCTTTTGTTGTTTATCGACCCCAAAAGTACCTTAAATTAACTGTCTATGTATTTTTTAATTCACATAGTTGAAAGCAAAATGTCGTCAACTGTTTGCTTCTCGCTTTACATGTATACTTGTTTCCTTAATCAACGATTTCGTGAACGACATGTTTCTTCTTCTTCTTTATATTTAACAACAATATGTAAAGGTTAGACAATACTTGGTCATGTTTTATGAAGATTTAAAGCCCAAGGCGTAGCCGAGGGTTTTAAATGTTCATAAAACTTGACCAAGTATTGTCTGACCAATTTAGAACATATTCACACTTTCAAGTGACCTTACAAAATTATCCTTTCCCATTGTTATATTAAAATTCTGATAAGAATTCTCTTTTTAAAATGAAGTGTTAACTAGGTTAATAAAAGGAATGTATAACATAGGTAGTGATCATTTCAATGGATGGAATAGCACTAACAGAGTTTTGTTAGGACAAAAAGGATATTCACACTTTCAAGTGACCTTACAAAATTATCCTTTCCCATTGTTATATTAAAATTTTGATAAGAATTCACTTTTTATAATGAAGTGTTAACTAGGTTAATAAAATGAATGTATAACATAGGTAATGATCATTTCAATGGATGGAATAGCACTAACATAGTTTTGTTAGGACAAAAAGGATGAATTGTTCAAACATTGAGTTTTTCTTCTGCTTCAGGTAAAATTTAATACTTATATACCTTAAATTTCTTGATTTTAAACAACACACAATGTTATATAAATCAGCTTTTTGAAATTTGTATATTTTTGATAATTATAAAACTCACTCTATAAATATTTGAATTACAACCATTCAGCATCAGATGCTTACTTTTTATGCAGTTAAGCTGCATTATGCTACCACCCTAGATTTGTGTTCTTCCCACTGAATGGTGTAAATAGTGCTATTGTTATTATCTAGCCGGCTTATATGTTATTTATAACTAATTGGGCACTTTTTTCATACTTTCAAATTTGGAATAGAAAAAATATGACCAGAAAACCTTAAAGGATCGTCGAAGTACCCAAAATTTTTGAAGTTGCACATAGGAAGTAGTGCTCAAAAGAAATCCGTACGTAGTGTATTATCCCATGTGCTTTTGGCTAAGATGTCAAAGAACAATTGTATGAAATATTTCATCGCCGAAAATCTCTAATTACAAGTCGTTTACATTTCCCAAATGGCAAAAGGCGCAGGAATATTGTTCATGTACACCAAATCTCTATAATAGAGGAAATAAAGTTATAAATATATAGAAGTCTCATTTGGCGGTAATTTCAACTTACACGAACCGTAATTTCGTAAGGTAGTAAGTATTCTGATGTTATAAAGTAAGTTTTGTTAATCATGATGTTCTTTTCGTTTAACATGTTTAAGAAGATTGTGATTATTTGAGTTCAATTAAATGTTTGCACATTTATTCCTTTCTTTTATTATATATTATTCCGTTTATCACTGACTTGCCAAAGTTGTTGTTGTTTATGAATGAAACATATCCGAAAATCGACGTTGACGGGATGTTTTACGAAATGTAGACAACTCGTCCCCGAGACAAGTCGGACCGAGTCCACTCGGACTGTAGCGGGTCTTGGTCTTAATAAAATTCTCAGATTGATTTGAATGTAGTTTATTTCGTTACTTCGTTCACATCAAACCGTAAGAACTACAAAAAACAAATATAACAATCATAAGAAAAAATTCCATACTATTTGGATTTAGTAATTATATACATAACAATTAGGTAAGTTATATCGTTTACAAATACAGTACATGTATAGCGGTGCTAATAAACCTGATCACTAATAACCTGTTGTTCGTTAATAACATGTATGTTTTGTGTTTGTTTCCGTATAAATTCAATAAAGCAATCGTCATTGATCGATAAGTTCAAAGTATCAACAAATCATGGTTGAAATCATAAAATTATACACAAATAGCAAATATTTCCCTATAATAATCATAAACCTTCCATGTGTGCTCGATAAAAATATTCAAGCTTATTTGAATACTAAATCATGAATTAACCAAGTGTTTTCATCTTAAAACCTTGAAATCTTAAAATTGTTCACAAAAATCATTTAACCCTTTCAAACACATAACTTTATAATTTACGATAGTTAAAGAAAGATAACTCTGACCATAAAATGTGCGGGTAAAGGGAGATAATCCACTTTTTAACCAGGGGTTCAATACAATCAAAAGTTTCATAAAACAGAACTTAAAAAAGGTAAAATTACACATTACTTGCATAGATAGTCTAAAAATAATATATATTAAATGTATATTACAATAAACACTAATAAAAATGAAATATCCGGAGTGAATGGGACGTTTACATGTTTGCATTTCACGAGCCGTTATAAACACCATTAATCTAGAAAATACCATTCATTTCATGGTCAGGAACATTTTCACGTTAAACATACATATAAATAATTACCTTGTTCCTCTGACCAAGATGGTAATCGTTATTTATTTAGTTGAAACATCAAAAACATTCGTTCACATGTTCGTTGTTTTTGGACAATAATAAGAGTGGGGAAAGAAACCACTCAAACAACAATAACATTTCGGCCCAAATACCTTTCGTCCCAAAACACTGACATTTACACTCCCCCCAAAATCA